CTGTGTGTGCCACCTGCAGGGGCACAAATCCCTGGCTGGCCCGGCAAGGGGTTGGGGTGCTGGAGAAAGTGGGGAAGATGGTGACAAGTCCGTCATCTGGGAGCGTGTGCGCAGGGAGGGGGCGCTGGGCAGGCAGTGGGGACCCGCTGCTGGCGGCACGGTCCCAGTGCGGGCGAGAGAGTTTGTTTCCGTGTTGTGTGTTGGCTTTTATATCTGAGAGGAAAATATACCAGTGCATTGGGTTGTGTTTCCAAGAGGGGAGTGCATGTGTGTGTTTGCCCGAGTTAGTGTGCTGTATTTTGAAAGGAAAGAGTGGATGTGTGTGAGTATGTTTATTGCGTTTTATGTTTTTTTTTTTTAATATATTTTGTTGATTTTTTCCAGAGAGGAAGGGAGAGAGATAGAGAGTTAGAAACATTGATGAGAGAGAAACATCGATCAGCTGCCTCCTGCACATCTCCTACTGGGGATGTGCCCGCAACCAAGGTACATGCCCTTGATCGGAATCGAACCTGGGACCTTTCAGTCTGCAGGCCGACACTCCATCCATTGAGCCAAACTGGTTAGGGCATTGAGTTTTATGTTTTCGAGGAGGAAGAGTGTGTCCAGAATGTGTTATATTTATGAGAGGAGAATGTGTCGTACTTTGTATTTCTTTTTGTTTATTTATTTTTATTTGTATTGATTTCAGAGAGGAAGGGAGATAGAAACATCACTGATGAGAGAGAATCATTGATCAGCTGCCTCCTGCACGCCCCCACCAGGGATCGAGCCCACAACCTGGGCATGTGCCCTTGACCAGAATTGAACCGTGACCTCCTGGTTCATAGGTCGATGCTCAACCACTGAGCCATGCTGGCCGGGCTGTATTTCTAAGAACCCCTGCGGAGGGTGTGGGTTGTATTTCTGAGAGGGGAGTGTGTTTGTGTGTGAGTGTGTATGTGAGGGCTCCAGAGGCACCACCAACTGTGCATCGGCTTTGTCACCCACATACAACCACACGAAGTCCCACGTGTAAGACCCCCACCTGTTATGATCTGGGCCTCAGACCCTCAGCTGTCACATGGCCAGTGACTTCCATGGGCCACGCCTGTCACATGTGTGTCCCAACACGCCTTGGGCTGGCTGGGCCTGTCTGCAGTGGAGGGCGGACCCCTGTTCTCTCAGGGTCTGTCAGCTCCTCAGGGCCCGGGAGCCCACACATGGGGTCCCCCTCGCCGACCCCCCATCTAGAGGCACCTCTGCTCCCGGCACCCCAGCCCCTCGGCCCTCGCCTCTTGCCCTACCTCCCAGCCCCAGCGGTCTGACTGGTTCGCAACAAAAACACCCTAAGAATGAGCTCACAGTGAGGCTGCCGCCTCCACACACCCCGCCCCACACGCCCAGCGGAGGAAGGCGCCTCCCGTTCCCGGTCACACAGCCAGGAGGTCGGGGCCAGGGGACCCGGGGCCTTTGGGGTACTGAGGACGGGCCAGGTGAGCCGGGGCGGGTGGGGAGCCACACACCGGCGTTGCCCTCTTTGGGTTAGTCATACGTGGGGTTTGGAGTTGTTCTCGGGGCTGAGAACAGGCAAAGGTAGACTAGAATGTTCCCAGTTGCGGGCTGGCCGGGCTGGGTGTGGACCAGGGTGCTGGCGGGAAGCAGGAGGGTACGAGGCAGAGGGCTGGCGGGATGGCTCGAAAGGGAGGTAGCTGGGAGGGGCCCTGCTGGTCCGAATGGCGTGGAGGCTGAGGGTCCGGCTGGCCTGGCCTTGGCTTGACTCCCCAATCCTGGCTGCACCCCCCCCAGGAGCAGCAATGTCCGTGCAGGTGGCAGCTCCCGGAGGCGTGGGGCTGGGCCCAGAGCGCCTGAACCCCGAGGAGCTGGTGCGGCAGACGCGACAAGTGGTGCAGGGGC